TCTCTCTCTCTCTCTCTCTCTCTCTCTCTCTCTCTCTCTCTCTCTCTCACACACACACACACACACACACACACACACACACACACACACACACACACGCTTCTCTCATGGACACCATGAATCGCGCGGCCATGTACAATTTCCAAGCATTGTGGAGATCTCGACTATACCTAAACATGCCACCCGTAAAGCCCATTTTTTGTTCCAAAAGAAAAGAGGAAGCAAAAACGAAATTTTACCTTGGACACCATGAATCGCGCGGCCATGTAAACCTGATCCATTCATTAGAGCCCCTACAGCATACTCACACTATTGACTTTTCTGCAGGTATCGGATTGCAATTACGGCCAGATTCAATCACAATAGGTAATCGTGCTCCAAGTATGCCCTCAATCTTTACCGGATCATTCATTCATCCATCAGTGCATCCATCTCCTGCACACACCTAAACCTTTTCATCAAACAACAATTTTTAATTGAAAAATAAATAAATAATAATAGGCAAAACGCCCGAATAAATAAAACTTTTCCGATTAAAAAAACAGGTAATTAATCAAACATTTAATCAACAACACATTTGATAAAAAAATCACATTTTATAGGGAAAAAAAACACTAAAAAAACACGTTTAATCGAAAAAACATTTAATGAAAAGACTTTGTGATTCAAAACAAAAAAAATAAATCCATCAAAACCTTTATTCCAAAAAAAACGTTTTTTAATCATTTTTTAAATCCAATATTCCAATCAAACATCTAATCAAATATTTGATCAACTATGGATGTTTGATTGGAATATTGATTTGAAAAATGATTTAAAAAAAAACGTTTTTTGGAATAAGCGTTTTGATGGATAGCTATGCGCACGAGCAATCACCCACTTCTTCTCTTCCCAAGAAGTAACCCAAAAAAAAAAAAAAAAAAAAAAACTGAAGCGCCAATACGCGTAACCGAGCGAACGGGATGGCATTTAACAGAATGGATTGGCGCCAAACAATAGATCAGCT